ATATGCTCTCTCGTTATATGTAGACTAGCCTCAGGGACATTATATGTGAACCTTTCTAGAAAAAAGCCTGCACAGGTAATACCTCGGATGTACTCTAATAAACATGTCATTGCTGTCCCACAGGTGTCCTTGTGTAAAGAAATTTCAAGGTATTGGTGTATGCTCAAATGGTTAACTTAGATAATCAATGAGAGATAATTAAAGATCCGATTATTTTCAACCACTTACTTATTGAGTGTTTTTAAAATATTTTAATACTGAATTCAAACAAATAAAAAATATCATAATCTATAATTTAAAAAAATGAAGTTGTGAACGTAACGTAATTGCAATGAATTGATCGTTTATGCAAATTTTCTTTGACCATTATACGAGTTTATACGTTTATGTAGTTTACTGAATACCAACTCTGAATAAAACTTTGAATCTTTGAATCTTGAAACGAGGGTCTGGATTGGAAAAAGGGGGGGGGGGGGAGATCTTAATCCGGTATTTTTAGGTTTTGTTTTAAAGTCATTTATCTCTATTTTAATAAATTTTGCCCATTATTCTCTGTTCTCTGTGGTCTATTTTTGTAAAGTCTACTTTTTTTCGCCCTTTTATTCTGCACTTTTTCCATTCTTTATTCTGTAAACCCCATTCAGACCCTCATACACGTAATGAAAAATCTAGTACGTAAGTTCTGTTACTAACACTAGTTGACTTGAGTATAGAATATTTCCATCCGTTGTCCATCCTTTATTCTGTTATAGCAGAGACATATAATACAATTGTATCATATCGAAAATACAGGTGAACGGACTTATCCTGCGCTAAAATGGGCTCTAATGTATGCGCTAAAATGTCCTAATGTATTTTAAAAATTTCCTCCGCCCGTGTTTTCCCCGTCCGTAATATCTTTAACCCTTCCTTGCTGTGTTAGGCAGTTCGGCATCTAGGATTTTTACAAAATTCTAGATTTCCATTACCTTTGGATGATATTACATGTAGATATTAGTATTTACAGAAAAGGAAACTAGCCAAACTTAATAAATGCTGAATAGCAAGATGTCAAAATTAAAGTAAAACAAAACGAATTAAAACGCATTTAAGTGAAATAATAAATATATAAATTGCAACTGTTAGTAATTATTAATTGATGTAATTCGTGAAAATAATTCTAAACAGTGTCACAAATGTGAAGGCATTAATACTACTACAAAGACGATGTCATTTTATTGCTACAACAAACCACCGATTTAAAAATATACGAAAGAAATAAAGATTATCTTGAAACAAAATATCAGACATTAATGTATACCTTTATTTTTGTTTTCTGTTAACGGTTCTCGTACCAATTCACGTTGAATTTTAAAATAATTAAGTTGAAAACATTATTTACAAATAAAAAAAAGATGGAATACTCTCCTGTTCTTTTGGGCCTTCTGAATAGCATAAGTTATTTCCACGTCTGGAACATCTGCTCCTTCTAAAGTCAAATACATTCTTATTTCAAGAATGAAAAAAAAAAAATCAAAAATGAATCGCTGACTCATTTCCACATTTTGACATTTCGGGAGAGTTTTCGTAAGTAATTTTTATTTTTTCTTTGTTTCCTAACAGTCCCAGGATTTTGAAGGCGGAAAGTTGACCCTTTGCAATAAATAAATAAAAACCTTTAACCTACAACATTAATTATAAGAAAGAAATATATATACAAAATATTTGCCACTGGACTTGTAACAACAAACTTCCAATCAGTCCAAAATGAGTAGAAATGTCAGTTAGTAAAATTGAGAATGGAAACGGGAAATGTGTCAAAGAGACATCTACCCGACCAAAGAGCAGACAACAGCCGAAGGCCACCAATGGGTCTTCGATGCAGCGAGAAACTCCCGCACCTGGCGGCGTGCTTCAGCTGGCCCCTTCACAAAAATGTATACTAGTTTATTGATAGTGGACGTCATTCTTAACTCCGTAATATACACAAGAAATTGAAATTAAAAATCATACAACATGCAGAGGCTCCTGAATTGGGAAAGGCGGAAAAATGCAGCGGGGTTAAACATGTTTTTTGAGATCTCAACCCTCTCCCTATACCTCTAGCCAACGAAATTTGCTTCAGAACGAAATCCTACTTTTTAAATTTTAACTTTTAATAAAATCGCACGAAGACGATAATCAGACAGTCCTATCTTTCTGAAATTAATGCATTAAAGCTCATTTTTAAAAATACAAATGATGCTTGCAATTTGAATTGCTTGGTCTTTCTTTTTCTTCTGTTAGTATTATCCTTCCATTTAGGAACACCAAGAATTTCTTGTATCAATAAACGTATATACACTATTTACAGGTTCTCCATTTGTCCTCTCAGGGAAATATGCACATGTATACACGACCCAAGAGTCACGCATACATTTCCAAATTTGCTCAATAATATTCTTTTAAAATCTAAAACCGTTTTGCAACAATCAATGAAATAATAATAATTAAAGATTTAACCGCCGAAGCTTTGAAAGTGTTCAAACTTACACACACACACTTCTGTTAACCCTGTTTACCTGTCGACTTTTGTTTAGAATAACAGGTGTGCGTTGATCGATATTTACGACATGCAGTCATTCGTTTATAACCCTTTTATCTCCAACTTCTCCGGGTAATGATTGACAGGTATTGTAATCTATGTAACACATAAATCGGGGTACAATAAAGGTATCATGTTTTAAGTAATTAAAAACAATTCACTCTTTATTAGTAGACAAAATTAAAATTAAAACATGTTGAAACTACACAAGTAATTTAATTGACACAATATAAATAAAGACGCGTGTTTATTTTTTTTGTATAATTATCTTATTTGCACTCACAAACAGATAGCAAACTTCAGTAACGAAATTGATTTTTAAATCGTAATTTCCAAATATAAGATTGCCAGCGCGGACTTCGCGGATCAATAGGGACATAATCTAGGTGACAAGTTGTGATCAATTCATTTTTTCCATCAAGGATTTTCCTGAATTTTAATGAATGTCCATCACGGAATCGAGGAATACGCGTTTTTGCAGTATTGCAGTGTAGAAACCTGCCAAATTCTTAAAGTCAAGCCCTTCAAAATTATTCAATATGCTTCTTTGTTTCCGTGACCAATTATTGGCATCGATATGTAATCACTTCCATTCATAAATATTTGTAGTTGTGTATTACAACGTTACCACGTGTATTTATCTTATCCATTGGTCGTATTTAAATAGATTTTTGTCGAGCCTTCGACTTTAGTCGAAAAAGCGAGACATAGCGATCCTACATTCCGTCGGCGGCGTCGTCGTCGTCGTCGGCGGCGGCGTCCACAAATATTCACTCTGTGGTTAAAGTTTTTGAAATTTTAATAACTTTCTTAAACTATCCTGGATTTCTACCAAACTTGGACAGAAGCTTGTTTAAGATCATAAGATAGTATCCAGAAGTAAATTTTGTAAAAATAAAATTCCATTTTTTCTGTATTTTACTTATAAATGGACTTAGTTTTTCTGCCGGGAAATATTACATTCACTCTGTGGTTAAAGTTTTTAAAATTTTAATAACTTTCTTAAACTATCCTGGGTTTGTACCAAACTTGGACAGAAGCTTGTTTATGATCATAAGATAGTATCCAGAAGTAAATTTTGTAAAAAAATATTATTTTTTCCTTATTTTACTTTTAAATGGACTTAGATTTTCTGCCAGGAAACAACACATTCACTCTGTGGTTAAAGTTTTTAAAATTTTAATAACTTTCTTATACTATTATGATTTGTACCAAACTTGGACAGAAGCTTGTTTATGATCAAATGCTAGTATCTAGAAGGACATTTTGTTTTCTTCCAGTTAACATTACATTCAGTCTGCAGTTAAAGTTTTTAAACATTTATTAGATTCATAAACTATCCTGGATTTTTACCAAACTTGGACAGAAGCTTCTTACAATCAAAAGATAGTATCAAGAGGAATATTTTTATTGATTTACTTCCTCATTTTTGTTGAGCCTGCGATTAACAGAAAAAGTAGGCGAGACACTGGGTTCCGCGGAATCCTTACGAATTTTTATTATAGACCAATGAAATTCGATGTTTAATTCATCAGGAAAGCCATGCTCAAAAACGTTTCGTATATGAATGTCGATCTTTCCTCTTATATACTTAGTTTGAACAGAGACATATATACACAGGTTTGAAACCTGCAACACTGATAAAAGCTTCCAAGAAAAAATATTTATAACCATCTAACTCATAGATCTATATTATCTGTTTCTGTCTTAATTTACAAGTAACTATATTTTCAAAAAAACATCGTTTAAACGAAGGGAAATAAAATGGTTAGTTTTAATATATTCATCTCCTTACAACAATGTTTTTAAAACCGTCGCTCACGCATCACTGGTTCTATTATTGACAACTCAATACACATCAGTTTTGTCGGACGAACAGGTAATTCCCGTCAAACTAGATAAATCATGTGCATTAATTTAACTGGAACATTTTAATACTATATATAGCTAACGTTAATAATACCAGAGACATATATGTCTCTGATAATACACACGTTATCGTTCACGCGAGTTTAAAGGGACATCATTATCTAAGAGTATGAGAGGGATTACGGTAAACGTCTAAAAATACAGCAAACAGCTAAAGTTAAAGACGACATCTAATTCCCTGTCAAACATCTAATTCTTTGTCAAACATCTATATTTAGAGATTACTGGTTATCTGTTAACCATAGTCCATATTTTTAGATGTATTCCCGCGTTCTAGATAATAAGCAGGCGCATTAACCAAATGGCTTTCCCAGTGTAAAATAACAAAATCTTTAACCAGGAATATTATCTTACATTTTAAATCACCAGGAATCACCCAGTTTCACTTTGATTCACTCAACACCAGAAAGGGTGACTTTTGACAGAATAAGGGTGATTGAACTGTATGTACTGAGTCTTTAATTTTGTTGATCTAATATGAACTGAATTGAATATTTTTTTCCCTCAGAAATCACAAGGACTTGCTACATTATTTAAACATTTATCAGATGACCAGTTAGGAAGTGACAAGTGGGAGTCTGTTAGAAGAGCAGCAGATGCCATCATTAATGAAAAAGACATGATGATTGACAAGTAAGTCTGTTATAGTAGTTGTTTCATGCAGTAACTCTCATATATGGAACTTTCAGAACATTATTGAATATCAAGAGTACAAAGGTGTGATCTTCATGATCTTATTCTATAAATAATTGAAAAATGCAAGTTCTTTTAGAACATTGTTAAAGACCTGTCAGTTTGCTTTCAAGATGAAGATCAGCATTAAAAGGACAGGTTCTTGAAATGTAGAATGATATCTCATGAAAATCTATCCAATATATTTCTCCCCTTAAGTTAGTCTGTGCAAAAACCCGCTATCCATTTCCAATTTATGCTGAATTAATGCTTTAAAAAAAAAAATTTAAATCAAATTTCTTGGATAATGTCTGAAATCCAGCAGCTGTGACTAGTAAAATGAACTCTGGCTAGTACACCACAGGTTTTAGATGGGTTTTATTTTGCTCAGTGTTTCTCTGTAAATTTTCATGATTTTGTAGATCGTAGATTGTTGGTTGTATTCCACTTAATCAACTGATTATTGTATAATATAGGATATGGGGTATCCATCCATGACACATGTATCTTTGGTTCATTTTTCTTTGGCAATTTTGTTGTCTATCCTTTGTTACATGTTTTAATTATCCCTTTTGGTCTATTTTATTTAAGGATGTAGTTAGGTGAAATTAAAAATAAATTTAGAATTTAAAATTGATACTATAAGTCAGAAGAGCATTAGCATGATTAGTAAGATAAAAATATTGATAGTTTATGGAACTCCTTTTTGCAATATTTGATTTTTAAAAAATGGTGGGAAAAGGCTGACTTGGACTTTTACCTTGTATTTAGCATTGGCATTATTTGGGTTCCAAATCGTAAGAAAAAAATCTAGAATCTGCTTAAATTTTGGTAATGACCTTTTTATGAGCTATTGAAGTCTTATATGAAAAGAAAAGTGGGTGATATGGGGCAAAATATTTTACCCTGTATCGTAGGAAAAAACCCAAGAAGTCAGAACATCTGACAAAAATTCATAAACATGACCTAAGTACATCCTTAACATTCTGTATCATATTAACTTTCCATTGTAGACTGAAACTGAGGATGATGAGTCTAGAAGAAGATGATAATAAATATGAAGCCAGGTTAAAAAGAGCTTTGATTAGTGATGTCAGTGGGGAGGAAGACGCCATTAGAAAAATAACGGTATAACAATGAATTTTAAAAAGATATATATTAGAATAAGATAAGCTTTTGAATATATTTGAGCCCAATTTTGGAAATGACAGACTGCACAACATGTTTTCTGTGTCATCTGAGACTTCAAAAACAATGAACTTTTCATGTTAAAATTGAAAATTATGTGTGTAAAGGCTTGTAAGCATTTGTTTGCTTATAACGTGGAAAAATGTTTTTGACAATAACAAAAATTAAAGGTGCATCTTGTAAGTAGAAAATGTATTCATGAAAAATACACCAGATAGAAGAACTCACTTAAGATGAATTCACAGTGGCCATAAGGATACTTGGAAACTGAGTTCCTGTAGTCTGGGCACTTAAATTCAATATTTAGTAAGAATTTTGGAAGTAGGTGCATTAATTTATAATTGAAAACCTATAAATCACTTACAGAGATTGAAATTTGTTTAATTTGATTGCAGATATGAACTGATGTAATATTAAAAAAAGGGAGGGGGTAGGGGGAATCAGATTGTGTAGTGTAATGCAGATACATCCGCTTTCTATTTTTTATGCAAACTGAAAGGGTTTTTACAAATTGTTTATCTTTAACAATATATGTTGATGTATTTTATTTAGGACCTTGATATAGAGAATGCATCATTGAAAGCTGAAATGGCACAAATGAAGGCAAAGAAAAATGCAGAACTGGATGATTTAGAGAGAAAACTTGGGTAATTACCTAAATACAAGAATTTCTAGATTATTATCTATGGACTGTTTCAAAATTGATCATGGTAGGGAGGGATGGAAGGCATTGAAAATAATTAAATGTGGGTGGTTGCATTTTCCTTAGAAGTTTTGTAGAATGATAGGTAAAATGATAATTTCATATCATGGGTAGTTTGGGTCTTTAAAAAAAGAGCACAACTAATGCCCCCTCATGTGTTTAATTCTGGAACAACCCTTACCATTTTCAGCAACAATTTATTGTCTAAATTTATGATGTTTTTAAATTTTGCAATGTTAAATATAAAGAAATTGTATTCAGTTGCAAATTTTTATCTAGTTATGCCTGTGCCATACATTCAAGAAAAAACAGAAGACAGTAAAAGTGTGTGCTACCTTCCCAACTTAATAAAAAAATTGGATGATAATGTTATAATTACTTTTTGTTGGCCTTACTTTTAGCTGAACTTTAAGTTAGAAGTTACAGATACTATATTATTATGTTAAATTGTGCTGAAATTACCAAGAAGCAGTCACTAAAATAAACTGCTGTAATTACACAGGGAAATCTGAGGACATCTTTTAAGTGGAGATTGATGAATCAATATTGAGCTTCCTATTTTAGACCTGATATTTAAATGTTGATTCAAAGTCTGACAAGAAAAATCAATAGTAAATGCTGTTGGTGATTTGGAAATAATAAAAAAACAGAACTTTTTCTGGAATTTATTTTAAAGAGATTGATCAATTGAATATGAAAGAATAAATAGAGATTATGTGAAATGTTAATGAGACAGCAACCCAACAATACAACCACAAGACAAACAACACAGAAACAAAACATTCATAGATATTTAAGCAGTTTTAAAAATTATGGGCATTAATTGTAAATTTGGAATCAAGTGTTTTATTACATTTTTACAAATTAAGATAAATATTTGAAAAGTAGATGACCATATATAGTTTCTCCCCATTATTTTAATTGCCTTGAGGTGTTTAGGTACACAGAATATTTTCATTAGGCTGAAGTACCTAAACATCTTTGTGGTAATGCCTTGATGATCTTTTTTCAAGAAAAGTATTCTGAACATTTCTTTACAATACCATATGTTATAACACAACATGCAGTTTGACATGCAATTTGAAAACCTGGTACAAATATTATAAAAAAGTTATTGATAATAATAATTGATTGATTGTTGTTCACTTAAAGTTCTGCAAAAGTTTCATACATATTCACAAGAACAAAATAATCCATAAATCACCTAGAACTATATGTTGAAGGATTTTTTTAAAACATAAGACCATGGAGACAGAAAGAATGAGTTATTTTTATTTTTATGCAGAGCTGCTGAGCATGAGAATGAACATTTGAAATCTGCTATAAGAACAAGAGTTCCTGGAAATGATGCAATAGAAAAACAGGTATATATATATATATATTATTAATTGAACTATAGATTCATTAGTATTCAAGGGGTACCAATTTACGTTGATTGAATGGATTTTAGGAATAGCACCACTAATTCATAGCCCCCTTGCTTCCTATGTTAAATTCTGCAACTTTAAGCATTCATAGCTAATTTGTCTTAAGTTTAAATATAGTGATAGTCATTTCATGTCAAAACTATACCTTATCCTGACTTGTGGTGAAAAAATCAACATACCTTTAATTGCATATTAGAGCACACTGGTTCCCAGAAGTTGATACATGGGTGAAATTAAAAGAAAGATTGAAATCTGAACTCTCTAGAAAACACATAACATCAAATATGACAGGAAAAAAAGATTCTGTTAACATTAACCTGAAATTATCATTGAGGTCATAATTTCAAATTTATTTAATTTTGATAATAGGATGATGAATTAAATCTTGTCAAACAAAGAAAGTCCAATCTTGTTTAATATGGCCAAAATTGATTGATTGGTTGGTATTTAACACCACTTTCAGCAGTATTGTGGTATTTCATGGCAGTCAGTTTTTATAGGTGGATGAAGCCAGAATGCCCGGAGAGAACCACAACCTTCCGTAGGAGAACTGGCGATCCTAGACAATTATGATTGGAGTTGAATGCACCTGCCACATGCTGGATTCAATCTCACAACCTCAGTGTTGACAGGCTAGATATACAGTTGTTCTGGCCAAGATTGGGAAAATATGACAAAGATAATATTAGTTTTCTGAAATGCATTTTTATTTTAAGATATCAGTTTTTCTAAACATGTCATTTTGATATTTCACTTTTCTTCAGATTTCTCAACTAACCAATGAAAGAGAGGAATGGAAAGGTAAATTTCTTGATTTACGAGAGAGTCATCAGCAGATGAAAGGGAGGCTAGACCAGTTACAGGATTATCTTAGGGATATTCCCACCATGGAGGAAACTGCTGCTAATTTACAAGAAATATCCTTTTCATGTATGCAGAATATAAATACTAGAAATTGTTTATTTTGCTTAACCGTTCAAAATTTTTTCAACTTTAGATATTTTGAAATGTTTATCGTAGAATCAGTGTGCCAGTGAGACTGAAATGAAAAGCAGCTCTTCTATCCTCCTCTGTCTATTCAAGTATATGAATGTAGGGACAAAATCATATTGTAGAAGCAAAATTTTGCAGTCACTTAAGAAGCCTAACTTAAAGAAAGTTCATAAAAGGCTTTACATTGGATAGAATTAACCCAAATATTATTTTACTGAGTCTGTAGACTGTTTTTTCCATGTCAAAGGGAGACATTATAGTAATAGACACACTTTTTTGTAGGATTATCCTTTGGGTCTGATTGATATCTGACATATTATGTACATGAATATGAAATTTGACTTCTCTCTTCAGATTAAAGATTATGTTAAAACTGTCCCATTACTTAAATAGAAGTCTTGATAACAGAAGGGAGATAACTTTGATTTTCTAACACGAATCTAACATAAAAATTGCAAAGTTCTTAAACAATTTTAACAGATCGAACATGGCCAGCTTTTATGGTTATGTCTATTAGATTCATCAAAAAATGAAATGGAATTCCAAATTCAATAATGTTCAGTCACATTTTCTTTACAGTTTATTATTAAGTAGTATTATTGCACTATTGTTTATTAAATATTTATTTAGAAAATTATGAATTAATTCAGTGGAAACAAGCCACTTGAGCTGCATATTTAATCATACATCCTAGGAAAATATATCAAATGATGGATGAATCAAATTTCTTTACACAACAGAAATACATGTACGAATTTTGTATAATATCAATCTTTGCTATACTTTCCTTAACCTTGATACTTAAACAATTTGAGAGAAGAAACAAAATTCCAAAAGCAACAACTGGAACAGCTCCAAAATAAACTTTTCAACAATAAGAAATTACTGTCGCAGCGAGATTTAAAAATTGAAGAACTACAAAATCAAATGGATCATTTGTCAGGAAAGATGAATGGTATTGCATCTGAACTAGATAGAATTAAATCTGATGGAGAAGGTGCCGTCCTCCAGAGGTGCCAGGAAGAAATAGTTCGTCTCAAGGAGGATAATCAAAGACTTGCCATAGATTTTGAAAAGGCTAAAAAGGTAAGACTATTTGTGAAACTATATTTTTCTTTTTCAATTGTCATTAGGGGGATTCAATGGCCGAGTGGTCTAAGTAGTTACTACTGTAATCACAAGCCAGTCAACACTGAGGTTGTGAGTTCGAACCCCGCTCGTGCGGGTGCACTCGACTCCAATCTTAATTGACTAGGATTGTCAGTTTTCCTATCGAAAGTCGGTGGTTTTCTCCGGGCACTCTGGCTTCCTCCACCAATAAAAAATGGCCGCCACGATATAGCCCAAAAGCAGTGCTTAAAAGTGGCGTTAAAACACCAAAAATCAAAATCAAATTCAATTGTCATTAATAATTTAAAAGATAAAGAGTAGTAAATGTGGAATAATAATTGTTAAGTAATTTATGTTTTAAATAATCAAGGTTTCTTAAAAAAAGATGATTTTAATTGAAAACTTTGATGGTAAATCAACTGAAATTTATCAGTGAAAACTTAATTTTATTGAGAATCTGTCTTTTATATTGATAAATCCACAATAAAGATTAAATGCCTTTTGAGTAAAAACTAATCCTACTGTGGATTCATATATTTTCATTGGTATTAATTTTCGTGGATTAAGGAAGACTTACATTTTTGTGGATATTTAATTTCGTGGTTTTGCATGAGTCTGCATACAGGCCTATAGAAAATTTATAATTTGTTGATTATTTAAATTCGTGGTTAACCTGTATCCATGAAATCAACGAAAATTGGTATCCAACAAAAATAATAAATCCAAAGTAGTTATTTATAGGTAATTTTTTCATGAGAAAACTTTGTTAATTGTCATTATCTATAGCTGTTGGAAACAAGCCATAGAAAAGTACGACATATGGAGGTCAAATTACAGAATGAACAGAAACAATCTAAAGGGAGAGTACAACAGGAGGAGGAAACAGTAATGGCACTGAGGGAAGAAAGTCGACAGAAAGATGAACAGATGATGAAAATGAAAAGAGCTTTGAAAGAGGTAAATTTCAAATGTTATTATTGTAATGGAACTAATTTCCCCATTTCGATTTATTTAGGGGCACAAGTGAGTAAAAAAATAGAGCAAATATAAATTATAAGTAGTATCAATCTTGGATCTTTTTTTCATGTACACACATTCAAGAAAATGGAGAACTTTAAATAAATCGCTACAAAATAAGCTAAAAAGGGCTATTCCCGAAAAATGTACCCTCAAAATTAAGTTATTTTGCTCTGATATGAATACAGAGGAATTGTTTAAAGCAAAAATAGTCTTTTTTCTTCACATTTAACTTTTCAGTTAGATCAACAGGCAGTCTGACTTTTTAGTTCATACAGGTATAAAACAAAAACTATGTGTTATATAATTTAATCTAATTAAATAAGTAAATGCTTTAGTGAAATTTAGTTACAGTAGTTTAAACCGGTTTTAGTATCATGGAGTTGGAAGGTTTTTTTTCAATAGCTATTTAGTGTGCACAAAATCATATCAATGAAAATAAACAGCCTTGTATGGTGTAAACAAGCAACTTTAAGCAATTCTTTCTAATTATGTCATTGTTATCTCCCTTGCAATGTTTATTATATGGTATAAACTTTTCAGAGCTAATTCCACTATTATTAAAAGAGAATGCCAGGTAATAGATAGTTTACATTTTTCAGCTTGGAAGTAAAAATCAAGATTTAATGGAACAGAACTTGATAATAAGAGAGCAGTTGAAACATTTAGAATATCTGAGTACAGACGAGACACAGAAATTACAGAGACGATTCACACAGGAAATGGGATTATGTTTTTCTGAGCTGCAATCTTTAGTGAATATTTGTATGCAGAGAGCTGAAGGACAAGATCCAAATATGTCCATGTTGTTAGGTGTTAGACGTAAGTGTTTTTTTTTTTGTCTCGCCTCGGCGTCAACAATGTATTAGTTTGTGATAAGGTCTAGTTCATGGTGAACCACTAGTGGTAGGTCAATGATATTTGGTATGCAGTTGTATTAGCATTGGCACATCTCATTACCATGGAGATTATTTGGCCCCATCCCCTCAGTCAAGGTCTATTGACTTTGAAACTTTTCATAGTTTTCATAGTTTACATGTATTAGTTTGTGATTAGGTCAATTTATGGGGAACCACTAGTGGTAGGTCAATGATATTTGGTATGCAGTTGTATAAGCATTGGCATATCTCATTTACATGGAGATTATTTGGCTCCGCCCCCTTAGTCATGGTCTATAGACTTTGAAAATTTTGCTAAGTTTACATGTATTAGTTTGTGATTAGGTCAGTTCATGGGGAACCATTCGTGGTAGGCCAATATTAATTGGTGTTCAGTTGTATAAGCATTGGCACATCTCATTTCCATGGAGAATATTTGGCCTCGCCCCCTCAGTCATGGTCTATTTACTTTGAAACTTTCGCTTAGTTTACATGTATTAGTTTGTGATTAGATCAGTTTAAGATGAACCACTAATGTTAAGTCAATGATATTTGGTATGCAAATTTATTGGCATTTGCAAGTATTATTTCCATGGAGATTATATAGCCCCACCCCTGATCATGGTTCATTGACTTTGAAACTTTTACATAGTTTACAAGTTAATGTTTGTGTTTAGGTTTGTTTAAAGGGAATGACTTATAATAAGTCAATGGTATTTGGTATGCAGTTGTATTAGCATTGGCACATCTCATTCCATGGAGATTGTTTAGTCATGTACCTTCAGTCATAAGTCATAAGTTCATCGACTTTGAATATTTGCATAACTTACATGTTAAAGTATTGCTATTTTAATTTCAGCATTTGCATTATCAAAATTACAAAAAGGCGAGACATATCTCTGTGATAACAGTTTATTTTTTCATGTAGACTTTTTCTTAAAGATAAGTTGGAAACACGAATTTGTTTTGGTTATACTGTAGCAATTTCTCATTGGCAGAATAACATAAAATTAAATTGTGAAATCTTGCAACTATTATTAGGCAAATTTGGTTTGATACTGACATAATTGAATTTCTTGTCACTTGAAAATAATTGTACTGATATATATTTATGTGAGTTTTCCCTGTACAATGATCAGGCAATCGGGGGGAAAGTTGAGTAGTCCCAAAGCTAGTATAACTACACTATATAAATGTGTTTGTATCAAGTTTTTCAGTGTCTATTAAGATATTTAATATTGAAGGCAGATTTTTATTATCTCATTTTACTTTATTCACAATTTGTTAAGGCTATGGACTTTTTAAAAGGGCATGACTTTGTCTTCTAAGTATCTTGCAGTCTGTTAACCCCTAGAAGTCTTTTTGTTGTGTCTCAATTTTTTCTACCTTTTCATATGAGGTGAACAATCAATATTCAAATAGCTGATCATTATCTTTCTACCAAAAACACCTTTAAGTTGGTGGGCTGCAGATCTGCTATTCTATTGGAATGACAATTGTTATGTCAATTGCTTTATAATTTTGTAATAAATTTTTATTTTGCAATGTAAATAAAATCAAATGGAGTAATCTGAATGCATTTGATATGCTTGAGACCAAAAGTTTTGGAGACAAAACTATAAAACATTTTTAGCATGAAAACCAATAGCCCAAATGAAACTGCCATATATAACTTTAAAAATAAACTTTTTGTAAAGTTCCCTACAACTAATTTGTTGTCATGGTTGTAATTCATTTTCTTTTAATTTCCATTTACTTATATTTCAGCCCCTACAAACGAACAGGAGTTGGATACGCCTGTATCCTCTGATGAAAAACAGACATTAAGACATTGGTTGTCAAAATTACGAGATCTCAGATCAGAGGTGGAGAAATTACGAGGCATGATCAGTAACAAATATGCCGAGGACATGGGAGACAACTTAAATTGTGCTACACAGTGAACAAGGGAGATAACAAGTTAAATATAAAAAAAATACACTACCATCACCAAAAGAGGAAGGAATGCTGGCTCTTAGAGAAATTTCATTGCTTAAAAAAGGCGGAATTGCTGTATTTTCGGTTATATTTTCAAGAAAATTGAAGAAAAAAAATCGTTAAAATGCAACAATCTGGTTGAAAAATTGTTTGATTGGAAAGTTTTCAATTTTGCAGTAAGTTTCATATAATACAGGTAAATCAAGAGAATCAAAATATAAATCACTGGCTTTAATTACTTTTAAAAAAAATTGCTCTAAGCAAAGTACCTGGTTGATCAAGGAAATTAAAAAGTGAAAAAAATGTTGAATTTATTGACAACCTATTTCAACATCTGATATTAAATGAAAATTTTAGGTGAATTGGGTTGAACTTGTGCAAATCATACCTTTCATGAAATCAATACCTTTGCTATCTTGTCTAAAGTATATATCATATATGAAACAGCTATATTATAATTAGGTGATGGTTCATGCCAGCTTTATTTTGAGTTATTGTGCATTGTATATAATTATATTATGAGGGCCGGTTACAAATGTATAAATGTACATACAAAGAAAGAGATTATTAAAAAATGATGGCTCTGTAAATACATTAAAATGGTGCTAAATATTTCATATCAGCTGTCTCAAAGAGATGACTATTTATCACTGGGAAAGCCATTTGGTTAATGCGCCTGCTTATTATCTAGAACGCGGGAATACATCTAAAAATATGGACTATGGTTAACAGATAACCAGTAATCTCTAAATATAGATGTTTGACAAAGAATTAGATGTTTGACAGGGAATTAGATGTCGTCTTTAACTTTAGCTGTTTGCTGTATTTTTAGACGTTTACCGTAATCCCTCTCATACTCTTAGATAATGATGTCCCTTTAAACTCGCGTGAACGATAACGTGTGTATTATCAGAGACATATATGTCTCTGGTATTATTAACGTTAGCTATATATAGTATTAAAATGTTCCAGTTAAATTAATGCACATGATTTATCTAGTTTGACGGGAATTACCTGTTCGTCCGACAAAACTGATGTGTATTGAGTTGTCAATAATAGAACCAGTGATGCGTGAGCGACGGTTTTAAAAACATTGTTGTAAGGAGATGAATATATTAAAACTAACCATTTTATTTCCCTTCGTTTAAACGATGTTTTTTTGAAAATATAGTTACTTGTAAATTAAGACAGAAACAGATAATATAGATCTATGAGTTAGATGGTTATAAATATTTTTTCTTGGAAGCTTTTATCAGTGTTGCAGGTTTCAAACCTGTGTATATATGTCTCTGTTCAAACTAAGTATATAAGAGGAAAGATCGACATTCATATACGAAACGTTTTTGAGCATGGCTTTCCTGATGAATTAAACATCGAATTTCATTGGTCTATAATAAAAATTCGTAAGGATTCCGCGGAACCCAGTGTCTCGCCTACTTTTTCTGTTAATCGCAGGCTCAACAAAAATGAGGAAGTAAATCAATAAAAATATTCCTCTTGATACTATCTTTTGATTGTAAGAAGCTTCTGTCCAAGTTTGGTAAAAATCCAGGATAGTTTATGAATCTAATAAATGTTTAAAAACTTTAACTGCAGACTGAATGTAATGTTAACTGGAAGAAAACAAAATGTCCTTCTAGATACTAGCATTTGATCATAAACAAGCTTCTGTCCAAGTTTGGTACAAATCATAATAGTATAAGAAAGTTATTAAAATTTTAAAAACTTTAACCACAGAGTGAATGTGTTGTTTCCTGGCAGAAAATCTAAGTCCATTTAAAAGTAAAATAAGGAAAAAATAATATTTTTTTACAAAATTTACTTCTGGATACTATCTTATGATCATAAACAAGCTTCTGTCCAAGTTTGGTACAAACCCAGGATAGTTTAAGAAAGTTATTAAAATTTTAAAAACTTTAACCACAGAGTGAATGTAATATTTCCCGGCAGAAAAACTAAGTCCATTTATAAGTAAAATACAGAAAAAATGGAATTTTATTTTTACAAAATTTACTTCTGGATACTATCTTATGATCTTAAACAAGCTTCTGTCCAAGTTTGGTAGAAATCCAGGATAGTTTAAGAAAGTTATTAAAATTTCAAAAACTTTAACCACAGAGTGAATATTTGTGGACGCCGCCGCCGACGACGACGACGACGCCGCCGACGGAATGTAGGATCGCTATGTCTCGCTTTTTCGACTAAAGTCGAAGGCTCGACAAAAATCTATTTAAATACGACCAATGGATAAGATAAATACACGTGGTAACGTTGTAATACACAACTACAAATATTTATGAATGGAAGTGATTACATATCGATGCCAATAATTGGTCACGGAAACAAAGAAGCATATTGAATAATTTTGAAGGGCTTGACTTTAAGAATTTGGCAGGTTTCTACACTGCAATACTGCAAAAACGCGTATTCCTCGATTCCGTGATGGACATTCATTAAAATTCAGGAAAATCCTTGATGGAAAAAATGAATTGATCACAACTTGTCACCTAGATTATGTCCCTATTGATCCGCGAAGTCCGCGCTGGCAATCTTATATTTGGAAATTACGATTTAAAAATCAATTTCGTTACTGAAGTTTGCTATCTGTTTGTGAGTGCAAATAAGATAATTATACAAAAAAAATAAACACGCGTCTTTATTTATATTGTGTCAATTAAATTACTTGTGTAGTTTCAACATGTTTTAATTTTAATTTTGTCTACTAATAAAGAGTGAATTGTTTTTAATTACTTAAAACATGATACCTTTATTGTACCCCGATTTATGTGTTACATAGATTACAATACCTGTCAATCATTACCCGGAGAAGTTGGAGATAAAAGGGTTATAAACGAATGACTGCATGTCGTAAATATCGATCAACGCACACCTGTTATTCTAAACAAAAGTCGACAGGTAAACAGGGTTAACAGAAGTGTGTGTGTGTAAGTTTGAACACTTTCAAAGCTTCGGCGGTTAAATCTTTAATTATTATTATTTCATTGATTGTTGCAAAACGGTTTTAGATTTTAAAAGAATATTATTGAGCAAATTTGGAAATGTATGCGTGACTCTTGGGTCGTGTATACATGTGCATATTTCCCTGAGAGGACAAATGGAGAACCTGTAAATAGTGTATATACGTTTATTGATACAAGAAATTCTTGGTGTTCCTAAATGGAAGGATAATACTAACAGAAGAAAAAGAAAGACCAAGCAATTCAAATTGCAAGCATCATTTGTATTTTTAAAAATGAGCTTTAATGCATTAATTTCAGAAAGATAGGACTGTCTGATTATCGTCTTCGTGCGATTTTATTAAAAGTTAAAATTTAAAAAGTAGGATTTCGTTCTGAAGCAAATTTCGTTGGCTAGAGGTATAGGGAGAGGGTTGAGATCTCAAAAAACATGTTTAACCCCGCTGCATTTTTCCGCCTTTCCCAATTCAGGAGCCTCTGCATGTTGTATGATTTTTAATTTCAATTTCTTGTGTATATTACGGAGTTAAGAATGACGTCCACTATCAATAAACTAGTATACATTTTTGTGAAGGGGCCAGCTGAAGCACGCCGCCAGGTGCGGGAGTTTCTCGCTGCATCGAAGACCCATTGGTGGCCTTCGGCTGTTGTCTGCTCTTTGGTCGGGTAGATGTCTCTTTGACACATTTCCCGTTTCCATTCTCAATTTTACTAACTGACATTTCTACTCATTTTGGACTGATTGGAAGTTTGTTGTTACAAGTCCAGTGGCAAATATTTTGTATATATATTTCTTTCTTATAATTAATGTTGTAGGTTAAAGGTTTTTATTTATTTATTGCAAAGGGTCAACTTTCCGCCTTCAAAATCCTGGGACTGTTAGGAAACAAAGAAAAAATAAAAATTACTTACGAAAACTCTCCCGAAATGTCAAAATGTGGAAATGAGTCAGCGATTCATTTTTGATTTTTTTTTTTTCATTCTTGAAATAAGAATGTATTTGACTTTAGAAGGAGCAGATGTTCCAGACGTGGAAATAACTTATGCTATTCAGAAGGCCCAAAAGAACAGGAGAGTATTCCATCTTTTTTTTATTTGTAAATAATGTTTTCAACTTAATTATTTTAAAATTCAACGTGAATTGGTACGAGAACCGTTAACAGAAAACAAAAATAAAGGTATACATTAATGTCTGATATTTTGTTTCAAGATAATCTTTATTTCTTTCGTATATTTTTAAATCGGTGGTTTGTTGTAGCAATAAAATGACATCGTCTTTGTAGTAGTATTAATGCCTTCACATTTGTGACACTGTTTAGAATTATTTTCACGAATTACATCAATTAATAATTACTAACAGTTGCAATTTATATATTTATTATTTCACTTAAATGCGTTTTAATTCGTTTTGTTTTACTTTAATTTTGACATCTTGCTATTCAGCATTTATTAAGTTTGGCTAGTTTCCTTTTCTGTAAATACTAATATCTACATGTAATATCATCCAAAGGTAATGGAAATCTAGAATTTTGTAAAAATCCTAGATGCCGAACTGCCTAACACAGCAAGGAAGGGTTAAAGATATTACGGACGGGGAAAACACGGGCGGAGGAAATTTTTAAAATACATTAGGACATTTTAGCGCATACATTAGAGCCCATTTTAGCGCAGGATAAGTCCGTTCACCTGTATTTTCGATATGATACAATTGTATTATATGTCTCTGCTATAACAGAATAAAGGATGGACAACGGATGGAAATATTCTATACTCAAGTCAACTAGTGTTAGTAACAGAACTTACGTACTAGATTTTTCATTACGTGTATGAGGGTCTGAATGGGGTTTACAGAATAAAGAATGGAAAAAGTGCAGAATAAAAGGGCGAAAAAAAGTAGACTTTACAAAAATAGACCACAGAGAACAGAGAATAATGGGCAAAATTTATTAAAATAGAGATAAATGACTTTAAAACAAAACCTAAAAATACCGGATTAAGATCTCCCCCCCCCCCCCTTTTTCCAATCCAGACCCTCGTTTCAAGATTCAAAGATTCAAAGTTTTATTCAGAGTTGGTATTCAGTAAACTACATAAACGTATAAACTCGTATAATGGTCAAAGAAAATTTGCATAAACGATCAATTCATTGCAATTACGTTACGTTCACAACTTCATTTTTTTAAATTATAGATTATGATATTTTTTATTTGTTTGAATTCAGTATTAAAATATTTTAAAAACACTCAATAAGTAAGTGGTTGAAAATAATCGGATCTTTAATTATCTCTCATTGATTATCTAAGTTAACCATTTGAGCATACACCAATACCTTGAAATTTCTTTACACAAGGACACCTGTGGGACAGCAATGACATGTTTATTAGAGTACATCCGAGGTATTACCTGTGCAGGCTTTTTTCTAGAAAGGTTCACATATAATGTCCCTGAGGCTAGTCTACATATAACGAGAGAGCATATTGTTATATAACGAAAACAGCTGGGAAAACAAAGTAGCGGATTTACTGGGAGCAACGTGACCCCAGTCGGGATCACCAAAAATGTTTCTAACATAATTGTATTGACACGGAAACTGCTTTTTTAGCAGGTCTGCAAGAGTTACGCAAGTTTCCGATATTTATCGTGTCGCACTCGCAAAAACGAGTG